AGATGCGGCATCTCCACTCGACCTCTTCTTGTGTGTGTAATCGAACAATTCCACAACGGTAGGGGGCACGCTATCTTTTGCTCGTGTCTATAAAGGTCAAATAATAAAACATGTGTTAATTATAACATATTAAAAATCAAGCTACTAAATTAATGGGTTTTAGGTTCTACCAGACGAGCACCATACTCCGAAAATGGTATCGATCCATCGGTGTGTAGCGAAACTTGACTATCACGGTTCTCACGTGCCGCACTGGAAACAGTCTTCCAATTATCACTGTTCCAACGATCGACCATCTGGACCCACAATTCTGAAGATATCCAGCTGGGGGGGAAATGCTTCAACACACTCATATCCCGATTGGGGTCCATTTCATCATACTGAGGATACCCATTCATCCTTGTTTTTTCCCCAGCTTTCTTCCTCGCGGAACTCATGTTATCATTATACGGCTTGGCCGACTTTCTCTCCTATGTCTCCAACATCTGGGCGTCCAAAGCCGGATCCCAAGTATAATAGCTCTGTACATAAAAGTTTAGGCAATTCTTAGGTTCAAAAAAATACATAAAATATAATAAGTTGAATATATAACACAAACCTGGAACCGCTCCCACATTCGGCATCTCACGTCCTTTGGGATTTTTTCCCAACTGGTCCATGGGCCGTCAAGTAGCTCTCGATTGATCTTGATGATCTGACGGATCACTTTGGTGTCATTGAAACTATATAATTACGAATTGAATTAGCATCAATACAAAAAATATATGTTTATCAATTAAAAGATGTAGATTTTTTTACTCTTTGTCGCGGATGCCAATAACTGTCCGCTGTTGTGGAAGCGGCTCCGGAGCAGCACTACCACGACCAGACTCAATCTCCTCCGGGTGTGCCGAAGCGTTACTAGACCCTCTACCCGTACCGTAGGTAGGTGTACTGCCGGTGATCCGAGTACGCGGCATTATCAATTTTTTACAAAGCAACGTTAGAAAATATACAACAATAATTCGTGGTATGCAGTAAAATATTTCACACAATTGAAAATGTCTAACAATGCTTACTAATTAAGATTTAAAAATAGAAATAATAAAATTTTAAAACAACTACACAAAGTTTAATAAGACTAAAATTTACAAATGAAGCCTAATTTGTCTGATGAGTGATCAGACAAGTCAAGTTCTTCGTCCTCAGAGTCACTATCAGAGTATTGGAACTCCTCTTCTTCGTCACTACTCTCATCAACATGCCAATTGTCGCGACGATCGTTGGCAACTTCGATGTCGTCTTCTCCTGTGACAAGCTGGATTGGTTCTTGAACTTTTCGTTTCCCTCATGTTGGGTTATTCGTTCATTTTCCTGGAAAAACTGTTCATCGTCTATATTTTCATCATCCGACCGGACTTTAGGGGTACTCGATGCTAAGTCATAGACCCCTCTTGGCTTTGT